CCTCGACTGCGGGGGTTGTAATCTTTGTAGTGGTCGAAATATTTTTGTTTCATTCGTCGGTTGTGTTTAAATGATCTATAAGCAACCCCGAATCTACCCTCTAAAAATAAATTTCATTCTCGTTTTAAACTTACGTAATTATTTAGAAAATTCACACTTACATTTATAGCTACCTTTAATTGCGGGGGTTGTAACTTTTGGAGTGGTCGAAATATTTTTGTTTCATTGATCGATTATGTTTAAATGATCTATAAGCAACCCCGAAACTACCCTCTAAAAATAAATTTCATTCTCGTTTTAACTTACCTATTTTTTTAGAAAATACACACTTACGTAAATAACAATCCTCGACTGCGGGGGTTATAATCTTTGTAGTGGTCCAAATATTTTTGTTTTATTGGTCGATGATGTTTAGATGATCTATAAGCAACCCCGAAACTACCCTTTTAAAATAAATTTCATTCTCGTTTTAAACATACGTAATCATTTAGAAAATTCACATTTACATTTATCGCTACCTTTAATTGCGGGGGTTCTAACTTTTGGAGTGGTCCAAATATTTTTGTTTCTTTGATTGATTATGTTTAAATGATCTATAAGCAACCCCTAAACTACCCTCTATAAATAAATTTCATTCTCGTTTTAAACTTACCTATTTTTTTAGAAAATACACACTTACGTAAATAACAATCCTCGACTGCGGGGGTTGTAATCTTTGTAGTGGTCGAAATATTTTTGTTTCATTCGTCGGTTGTGTTTAAATGATCTATAAGCAACCCCGAATCTACCCTCTAAAAATAAATTTCATTCTCGTTTTAAACTTACGTAATTATTTAGAAAATTCACACTTACATTTATAGCTACCTTTAATTGCGGGGGTTGTAACTTTTGGAGTGGTCGAAATATTTTTGTTTCATTGATCGATTATGTTTAAATGATCTATAAGCAACCCCGAAACTACCCTCTAAAAATAAATTTCATTCTCGTTTTAACTTACCTATTTTTTTAGAAAATACACACTTACGTAAATAACAATCCTCGACTGCGGGGGTTATAATCTTTGTAGTGGTCCAAATATTTTTGTTTTATTGGTCGATGATGTTTAGATGATCTATAAGCAACCCCGAAACTACCCTTTTAAAATAAATTTCATTCTCGTTTTAAACATACGTAATCATTTAGAAAATTCACATTTACATTTATCGCTACCTTTAATTGCGGGGGTTCTAACTTTTGGAGTGGTCCAAATATTTTTGTTTCTTTGATTGATTATGTTTAAATGATCTATAAGCAACCCCTAAACTACCCTCTATAAATAAATTTTATTTTCGTTTTAAACTTACCTATTTTTTTAGAAAATACACACTTACGTAAATAACAATCCTCGACTGCGGGGGTTGTAATCTTTGTAGTGGTCCAGATATTTTTGTTTCTTTGATCGATTATGTTTAAATGATCTATAAGCAACCCCTAAACTACCCTCTTAAAATCAATTTCATTCTCGTTTTAAACTTACCTATTTTTTTAGAAAATACACACTTACGTAAATAACAATCCTCGACTGCGGGGGTTGTAATCTTTGTAGTGGTCGAAATATTTTTGTTTCATTCGTCGGTTGTGTTTAAATGATCTATAAGCAACCCCGAATCTACCCTCTAAAAATAAATTTCATTCTCGTCTTAAACTTACGTAATTATTTAGAAAATTCACACTTACATTTATAGCTACCTTTAATTGCGGGGGTTGTAACTTTTGGAGTGGTCCAAATATTTTTGTTTCTTTGATCGATTATGTTTAAATAATTTATAAGCAACCCCTAAACTGCCCTGCAAAAATAAATTTCATGCTCGTTTTAAACTTACGTATTTATTAAAAAATTCACACTTACATTTACTTATAGCAACCTTTAATTGCGTGGGTTGTAACTTTTGCAGTGCGCCAAATATTTTTGTTTCTTTGATCGATTATGTTTAAATGATCTATAAGCAACCCCGAAACTACTCTCTAAAAATAAATTTCAGTCTCGTTTTAAACTTACGTAATTTTTTAGATAATTCACACTTACATGCATAACAATCCTCGACTGCCGGGGTTGTAACCTTTGTAGTGGTCCATTACGATTGCTAATGGTTTCTCTTGGACTACTTTACGAAAAATTATCAACAAAAAGAAAAATAAGATACAGTGGACGAATTTAACAACTTTAACTCCTATTACACAAAAGAATTACAAATATATCGGTACAATTCCTTATATAAATAACATTTCAGATTCAATTATTAACATTTTCAAAAAATCTAATTTCAAACTAGCTTGTATACCCTATCAAAATTTAAATATGTCTCTCGGCAACCATAAAGACAAAATTCCTCCTTTTGAAAATTCCGGTGTATATGTTACCGTAAAATCCCGACTTTACTAAGTCGTTCAGTAAATTCTAGGTTTCACTTTCATATTTTAGTTAATACGGGTTTTTAAGGGTTCACCAATAATTTTTCACACGTAGTTACTTGTGACTTACTTTTATTAGAACATAAAAAGGTACTGCGTACAAAATACAATGCTATTTAATGCATAAACTTAATTGGACCAAAAAAAAAGGAAATAAAAGGTATTGCTTATACAATAAAGAACATAATATTGTAAAATAGTTAATAGTTTTTTGAAAATAAAAATTATTGAAAAACAACTAAAAGTTTATATATTACTTTACTTGTTCCTCCAAGGTTGACTGTCGTGACATTTTGAGTTGCATAGTTTTCCCTTCTTCTTGCAGAAGCATCTGTTAGTGTTGCAGGTTTTCTTGCATACGCAACGTGCAAATCCTTGGCCGTCCCCTAAGGCAGCATGTCTAGCAGCAGTTCTTAAAGAAATGCTTTCTTCGGGCACCTTTTCTGACGTTAAAAACTTTTCTTTGGAAACGTCGAATTCTGATCTGGAAAAATAAGGATAAGATGTGGAAGTACCTACATTGGAATTAAAAGTTAATAATTCTGCGAAAAAGTATGTGGTGCTTGTCCTACCATCTATTTAAAAGGTTTTAAAAATTTATCAGAACGTACCTGCAATATAATTTTTCCAATATTCCATGTTTGGTTGCAATTTTGTGCAGGCCTTCTTGGTTTTTTTCAAGCACGACTCAGATGATATTTCTTAGATCTGCCTTTGACCTATCACATCTGGAATCGATATGATTCCTGACGTCTTCACTATTGCAAAGCGAAACATTACCGTAAATCTCGTTGTATACCAGTTTTAACTTATGTGCCTCAGTAAAAACTAGTTTTAACTAGCAAAACCTGCTTTAAATTAAACACATTTGGAATTTTTAGATTTCACTATGATTTTTAGACAATTCTAGTTTTACCTAGTCAAAACTAGAATTGACTAAAGGGGATAGTTAAAATTAGTTTTTCCTAGGAATATCGGGTTTTAACTGAAATCGGGTTTTTACGGTAACATATACAAATTAACATGCAATACTTGTAAGGGTTTATATATAGGAATGAAATTTGGTTATTATTATATTATTTATTATTATCTTGCCTGAAAATAAATAACAAAAAATATAGTCGCCTATGAAACACTCGAAAGAGAAGCTTGATCAGAATTTAAAGGAAACAGTGAACTAGCTGATATTCAAGAAAATCTACAATTATTTTTCCAAGTGTCCTTCATTGTGGGGAACGCACATGGTTGCATCTCAAAGATCTTGTTTCATTCAGGATTTGTAGTAGTTGAACTGGTTCAAACCCTCTTTCTACATTTTCCTGTAATTCTTCCTCAGTTGTAGAGCAATATTTATAATTTTTTTTTAAAAACCCCACGCAAAGAAATCTAATGGGCTTAAGTCGGGTGAACGTGCTGGCCATTTTATTGATCTCTGCGTCCCCATCTAATTATTAGGTACGAGATCATAAATAATTTCGAACAATTAATGCATTATGATCTGGGGCACCGTCTTGCTGCAAAATAACTTTTCTTGCAAAGGAATACGATCCAGTAAATCTTCCAGATTGTGCTCTAATGTTTGGATATATCTCTCAGATGTAAGTGTGTCTCTCTAATATAATATATTAAACTATGTCGTTTTAGTAGGCGACTATTTATTTATTATTTAATAAGCAAAATTGATTGTCGACATTTTTCCGGAAACCTCGTGAAACAAGCAATTTTTTAAAACCATGGCCAACTATAATTTCCATTTAAAAAAATCAACTTCCAGTTACAGCGCAGTTATTAAAAGGGCTTGTTGTAGCTTCAATGATAAAGGGAGGAATCGGCTATTTTTCAGTTTTTCTCTTTAGGGAAATAACAAAAGATGGCAGCTTATTTCTGGTAACTTGCTGGTAACGGTATTGGAATAATCATAAAATAGAAATCACCATTACTTTATTCATATTTCGTTATTGTTTGGTTTAGTTTCCCTCATTTTCTCACAGAGAACAATACATTCATAGAATGTTTATTGAAACTGGAAACTATTTCTTGTTAAATTGCAAATGGGAATTGTTTATCGCGTCGCAATATATTTATTTGGATTTGCCATGGTGCTTTTTAAGAAGATCCCCATCGTTGAAACTGTTTGACAGTACGCTCATCTGGCATCAGTGTAAACAATAGAGAAGAAAGTCATGCATGGACCCGATACACGCTTATAAAATTAATGTAGGGGGTGTGAAAAAGAAATCAAATTATGGAACCACGCAAAATTGGAAATCTATAGGATTACGAGTACTATGAGAATTGATTGTAGTGTGTAGTTTAGCAGCGGCCTGTTTTTAAGGTTGAAGGAGCGGCACAAAGCTTTGGAAATCAAATCCAGTTTTTAATCAAGGTAAATTTACCTCCACAACTGCTTGTAGAGCTTTAGAGACGCTCTCAGGTGGTCTAGAAGCAAACCACCATTGCCAGTAAATAGCATGAACCTGCATATTAAAATCGTTGATTTACTTGTGACTGTGTAACAATATTGATCGAATCTTTTCTTCTGTTCCCAGATACACGATTCTAGCTATGGCGGCGAATCCGAAGAGGACATATTCGCGATCTACCACCAGAGTGCCGCGGCAAACGCTTTACTTTACGTCGGACTTGGAACTACCGCTATTGGAAGTGTAGTTTTCTTTGTAGGTTCGGGTGATAAAGGTTTCAAAACCTTGGAACTTCGTTTAATTGGGCCTACGCTAGTCGCATGCGGCCTATTATGTTGCCTAATACGTATTTTATTATGTGCGTGTCCGTCGACGTGTATAAGAAGGAGGAAAAAGACGCGTCTTAAAAACGTTTGTCCGCATAGTACAAGTAGATTTCCATTGCAAGAACGTGAGAAACACGCAACGGACTTTGTGGCCATCGATCCGACCACGTCGTTAATATCGAAGCACAAGAAGAGGGTGTCGATCGCGCAACAGAAACCCATACCCAGTACGAGTACCGCTGAAGACTTTCCCTCGCACTTAGTAAACGAAAACGAAGATAGGGTCCAGTTCAAGCCCACGATTCCTATAATTACCGTTCCGGATTTCACGGAATTTCACTCTGGGGGCGCAACAAATTTACATAGGGACGAATCTAGTATAGAGTTACAAAATTTAGAATTGGCCTACGAATTAGAGAGTGTATCTAGTAACGATAGTGACAGTATTGTTATCGAAAACGAAACCAGTAGAGCACCATCAAAGTTAACTCGAAGTCGTGTTCCCGTTCACGGCAATATTGTTGACACATCGTGCGATAAGGAGACATCTTTAAGCGTAGTCGTCGAAAAAAGTGACCATAGTGAATGTGGCAAAAACGACAAAACTATCAGCGAAAGTGAGAGACTATCACATAGTGGCATTCTGTTAAGTCCATTACAATTAGAACAATAAGACTTTGGATATTTAGGGTTTTGTTAATCAAAGTTAAAATTCAAACAATGCGTGTCACTCGCGGCATTCTTGCAATAGGTAGATAGTGCGAGAGTAGATCTCGCCATCGGTCACACAGCGTAGCAAATAGTTCCTATAATTACAGGCATAGTTTGAATTTTCCCATTTTTTTAATAGTAAATAAATGGAATTGATTATAATGAAGTAACGCGCGTCATCCATGGATGATGTCTTGCGTTATGGTAATCCAAGGTGATTTTACAAATTTAGGTAATGCTAAGAGGTGTATATTTAAAATCTAGTGTGCCTAGTTATTTTTTATGAATTATTTGTAACTTTATAAAGACCTGCTTCATTATCATGAGAGTAACTACTTAGTGTTGCCATTTTCTCACCTCATATCTTCGCGCCCTACAAACCGCACGGGGCGACACCCTTTAGTTCGACTGAAAACAAAATCGAGGTACCTAATTATAATGTAAAGGAGGAATAAGGTGGCTTTGTAATTTTCAAAATACGAGTATAATTTTAATTCGGTTTAGATTTGACCATATCGGTGTGCAAATGAAAAATTCATAATTGTATTTAAAAATAGCTTTAACTCTTTTATGACACTTTAGAGCACGTAATTTGTTTCGAATTATGAATCAAAGTGGAATAACTCTATTGTTTATTTTATTAAATTTAATACTAACATAATACGGCTTCTATCACAATTGCTGTCACACCAATTAACAACTAAAGAACAAACTGCTGTACTGTATTCTATATTGTAAACCTAAATAGAGATTGTATAACCATTTACATGTATAAATATTTAAGTCTTATATAAAATATTACGTTTTTCTTTATTTTGTCGAATTTTATAAAAGACTTAAGATATTAGGAAATAAACGATGTTAGGATGCTATATAATTATAATGGGTACATATCGTTATAAGACAAAATAAAACTCTTGCCAATAGGATCTGTTTGCTGTAAACAATGTACTTGTTTTTGATATTACAGGTTGATTGATCGCCCCACGGTTCACAATTGGCCCATTGAATCTCGTGTACCAACTTGGAAATGGACCTGGTTAATTACAGTTGGGTTATTTTAAGACCCATCTCATACTAGCATGTTCAATTTTTGTCGCTCATGAAGTAAAGAAGTAACGGACGATCAAAAAAGGATTGACGTCGAATCGCCTTTGGAAGTTCAAATTAAATTGGATTTTACATGTACATAAAAATTCCAAAGGTGATTCGACAGCAACTCTTTTTTGATCACATAGTATCAATATCACTGTTTGGTTTTCAAATCATGATAAAATGAATATTTTATTTCCTAGAATTTGTAATCTGCCAAGATCGCGTAGATAACTGGACAGTAGTATTTAGTCCGTCGTGCAAATAAGATACCTTTTCAGTTTGCTCTCATACAATTTTTAAAATCTCTTAATACGTGACACGCAATTAAAATCAGTGTGATTTGTTAAAAGCGAATAACAACCGAAGAAAAAACTGTCTCAGATCGTTCCAAATTTTTTTTATAGAATGTGGCCTGTAGAATCCATAATTTCAAACAGTTCCAAGATTGGGCTACTAGTTCAAAAGTTACAGCCCTTTGAATTTATCTTTCGAAATTGGTTTCTAGTCTATAACTTTGGATTGAGAAGTCTGATCGAAAAAGTACGAATTGTTTTGGATTCTACGCACGAAAATTTATAAGAAAAAGTGTTTTCCCGAGAAATTTTGGTGCAGTCGATTTTTGGAAAAAAAGGAAGGTTATACACTGCCTTTTTTTGAGGCCCGAAGAAAAAATTGTCTCGGATCGACCCGGAAAAAAAATTTTCTTATAGAATGTGGCCTGTAGAATCCATAATTTCAAACAGTTCCAAGATTGGGCTACTAGTTCAAAAGTTAGAGCCCTTTGAATTTTCTTTTGAAATTGGTTTCTAGACTATAACTTTGGATTGAGAAGTCTGATCGAAAAAGTACGAATTGTTTTGGATTCTACGCACGAAAATTTATAAGAAAAAGTGTTTTCCCGAGAAATTTTGGTGTCCAAGATTGGGCTACTAGTTCAAAAGTTACAGGCCCTTTGAATTTTCTTTCGAAATTGGTTTCTAGTCTATAACTTTTGATTGAGAAGTCTGATCGAAAAAGTACGAATTGTTTTGGATTCTACGCACCAAAATTTATAAGAAAAAGTGTTTTCCCGAGAAATTTTGGTGCAGTCGATTTTTGGTAAAAAAGGAAGGTTATACACTGCCTTTTTTTGAGGCCCCCAAAAAAAAATTGTCTCAGATCGACCCGGAAAAAAATTTTTCTTATAGAATGTGGCCTGTAGAATCCATAATTTCAAACAGTTCCAAGATTGGGGCTACTAGTTCAAAAGTTACAGCCCTTTGAATTTTCTTTCGAAATTGGTTTCTAGTCTATAACTTTTGATTGAGAAGTCTGGATCGAAAAAGTACGAATTGTTTTGGATTCTACGCACGAAAATTTATAAGAAAAAGTGTTTTCCCGAGAAATTTTGGTGCAGTCGATTTTTGGAAAAAAAAGGAAGGTTGTACACTGCCTTTTTTTGGGCCCGAAGAAAAAATTGTATCAGATCGACCCAAAAAAAAATTTTCCTATAGAATGTGGCCTGTAGGAAGGAAGGTTGTACACTGCCTTTTTTTGAGGCCCGAAGAAAAAATTGTCTCGGATCGACCCGAAAAAAAATTTTCCTATAGAATGTGGCCTGTAGAATCCATAATTTCAAACAGTTCCAAGATTAGGCTACTAGTTCAAAAGTTACAGCCCTTTGAATTTTCTTTCGAAATTGGTTTCTAGTCTATAACTTTTGATTGAGAAGTCTGATCGAAAAAGTACGAATTGTTTTTGATTCTACTCACCAAAATTAATAAGAAAAAATGTTTTCCCGAGAAATTTTGGTGCAGTCGATTTTTGGTAAAAAAGGAAGGTTATACACTGCCTTTTTTTGAGCCCCGAAAAAAAAATTGTCTCGGATCGACCCGGAAAAAAATTTTCTTATAGAATGTGGCCTGTAGAATCCATAATTTCAAACAGTTCCAAGATTGGGCTACTGGTTCAAGTCGATTTTTGGTAAAAAAGGAAGGTTATACACTGCTTTTTTTTGAGCCCCGAAAAAAAATTGTCTCAGATCGACCCGGAAAAAAATTTTCCTATAGAATGTGGCCTGTAGAATCCATAATTTCAAACAGTTCCAAGATTGGGCTACTAGTTCAAAAGTTACAGCCCTTTGAATTTTCTTTCGAAATTGGTTTCTAGTCTATAACTTTGGATTGAGAAGTCTGATCGAAAAAGTACGAATTGTTTTGGATTCTACGCACGAAAATTTATAAGAAAAAGTGTTTTCCCGAGAAATTTTGGTGCAGTCGATTTTTGGAAAAAAAGGAAGGTTGTACACTGCCTTTTTTTGAGGCCCGAAGAAAAAATTGTCTCGGATCGACCCGAAAAAAAATTTTCTTATAGAATGTGGCCTGTAGAATCCATAATTTCAAACAGTTCCAAGATTGGGCTACTAGTTCAAAAGTTACAGCCCTTTGAATTTTCTTTTGAAATTGGTTTCTAGTCTATAACTTTTGATTGAGAAGTCTGATCGAAAAAGTACGAATTGTTTTGGATTCTACGCACAAAAATTAATAAGAAAAAGTGTTTTCCCGAGAAATTTTGGTGTAGTCGATTTTTGGTAAAAAAGGAAGGTTATACACTGCCTTTTTTTGAGGCTCGAAGAAAAAATTTTCTCAGATCGACCCGGGAAAAAAATGTTCTTATAGAATGTGGCCTGTAGAATCCATAATTTCAAACAGTTCCAAGATTGGGCTACTAGTTCAAAAGTTACAGCCTTTTGAATTTTCTTTCGAAATTGGTATAACTTTTGATTGAGAAGTCTGATCGAAAAAGTACGAATTGTTTTGGATTCTACGCACCAAAATTAATAAGAAAAAGTGTTTTCCCGAGAAATTTTGTTGTAGTCGATTTTTGGTAAAAAAGGAAGGTTATACACTGCCTTTTTTTGAGCCCCGAAAAAAAAATTGTCTCAGATCGACCCGGAAAAAAAAATTTTCTTATAGAATGTGGCCTGTAGAATCCATAATTTCAAACAGTTCCAAGATTGGGCTTCTAGTTCAAAAGTTACAGCCCTTTGAATTTTTTTTCGAAATTGGTTTCTAGTCTATAACTTTTGATTGAGAAGTTTGATCGAAAAAGTACGAATTGTTTTGGATTCTACGCACCAAAATTAATAAGAAAAAGTGTTTTCCCGAGACATTTTGGTGCAGTCGATTTTTGGTAAAAAAGGAAGGTTGTACACTGCCTTTTTTTGAGGCCCTCAAAAAAAATTGTCTCAGATCGACCCGGAAAAAAGTTTTCTTATAGAATGTGGCCTGTAGAATCCATAATTTCAAACAGTTCCAAGATTGGGCTACTAGTTCAAAAGTTACAGCCCTTTGAATTTTTTTTCGAAATTTGTTTCTAGTCTATAACTTTTGATTGAGAAGTCTAATCGAAAAAGTACGAATTGTTTTGGATTCTACGCACCAAAATTAATAAGAAAAAGTGTTTTCCCGAAAAATTTTGGTAAAAAAGGAAGGTTATACACTGCCTTTTTTGAGGCCCTCAAAAAAAATTGTCTCAGATCGACCCGGAAAAAAATTTTTCTTATAGAATGTGGCCTGTAGAATCCATAATTTCAAACAGTTCCAAGACTGGGCTACTAGTTCAAAAGTTACAGCCCTTTGAATTTTTTTTCGAAATTGGTTTCTAGTCTATAACTTTTGATTGAGAAGTCTGATCGAAAAAGAACGAATTGTTTTGGATTCTACGCACGAAAATTTATAAGAAAAAGTATTTTCCCGAGAAATTTTGGTGAAGTCGATTTTTGGAAAAAAAGGAAGGTTGTACACTGCCTTTTTTTGAGGCCCATAGAAAAAATTGTCTCAGATCAACCCAGAAAAAAATTTTCTTATAGAATGTGGCCTGTAGAATCCATAATTTCAAACAGTCCAAGATTGGGCTACTAGTTCTCGCAATCGGTCACACAGCGTAGCAAATAGTTCCTATAATTACAGGCATAGTTTGAATGGGTGCAGCTGCTGTATCGCATGTTTTACACAGTTTCCTCCTGGTAATCTCCCCTGATGATGCCATCTTTTCCGGGGTAAACTTCTTTAACACAACCCAGAGGCCATTGTAATGCCGGAAGGTTATTATTGGAGAGTAGAACCAGAGAACCAATTGTTTATTAATTACATTTACCCCAATTCCGGGTCAGAATCCACAATCTTTATTTGTTACGTTAGGAATTAGGGTAGCTCACGTTTTTTTTTTACCGTTGCTATAATTTTTTCGATTTAAATCATTTGATCTTAAATTTTTTTACGGAAAATGATTTTTGATTTAAGATTTAAATCTTCATGAAAACTATCTTTGATTTTGACTCTTTTAAAAAGATTTAAATACTTTCGAAAAGATTTAAATCCTTTCCGAGTGATTTAAATCTTTTAGAGACGATTTAATTAATACATACTAACAAATTCTCTTGATTTATTTCAACCTGACTAAGTTAATTAACCCGGGTTTTATTTCGGTAGACGTTTATATGTATTTATTACAAAATCGAGTATACTGAGATTGACGATGTCTTGGTTTTTTAAAATTTCTTTCGCAAAAAATAGGTATATATTTAAATTTAATAAATAATAACAATAAAATACGGTAGAAATGGTAGGTATATTGATGAATGATGTTGAGGGGTTCGAGCAAGATCATCAGACCAATCAGTTTTATTGAATTTAAATCCTTTACAAACCTTTTGTAACAAAACGATTAAATCATCGGAAAAGATTTAAATCATTACATCATTGCATGATTTAAATCTTTATACGTGATTTAAATTAACAAAATTAGATTTAAACCTTTTTGAATGAATTAAATACCTT